ATTAAAAGGGGTGCCACATTATTGAGATTAACGCTGCGCGGCAGCCTTATAAACAGAATCAGAATGACTAAGTAGACTAGGTAACAAGAATACTGATAATGATGGCAACACGAACGCTCTTCTACGAAGACTAAGACTACGAGTATAATCACAACAACATGATTGAGGGTTTAAGACCTAACAAGTTCTGTGTGGCCTGGATTTTTCGTTAAGGAGGCGGGAGATGATAACTACATATCAGGGGGGATAGATTACATGTGCTGAGCTTTCAAAATACACATGCATCCTTTAGGGGTTGAAACTGCTTACACAGCTGCTAGGGTTGAGGATTTAGGGCTTAGNNATTAATGTTGTAGTATTTGGGCCTTAAAACCCCATTACTTGGGTCCTTGGACCCTTAGGGGTTTATAAGGTTTAGGGCTAGGTTAGAGCTTGCCCTCCCTTCTGATCCTCCGTGCCGGCTCCATGTACACACTAGGGGCTGAGGTTGGCATGCTCAAACAGCTCGGATATGTGCCTAAACTGATAGGGTGATAGGGATTCTATGAGCTATAGTCTGAACTCCTAGCATCCCCCTTAATATGCCCAAAACTAGTTCCCTTTCTGTTCCCCCATACAACCCCCCTTTAAGGAGTTTTGACTAGAGCTCCTACAGGGATAATGGAAAAGAAAATGGAAACTAGACTACATTATAGGGTTTAGGGTTTAAGTGTCTAGGGTTTTGTTCCTTCAACGAACGCTGCATTCTTCAGCAAGAAGACCGCCCACAAGCGGCCACGATCTTGGAAAAACCCTGAACTGCCTGCACTTTAAGGCTGACACCGGCGACTCTGACATGCCATCCAAGAAAACAGCTTGGCTTCTAGAAACGAAGAAAATGCTTGGCTCACTAGCCTGACAGGGAGAGGCAGGCAGAACCTATCAGGGTCCCTGTTACCTGCAATCAGCGTACCCTCGCAAGGACAAGATACCAGTGAGGGCCGGGACGGTGGGAAATTCACACCTGCTTTGCATACTTGACTGGCACCCTCATGCTTGCCGCATGCACCAAGACTAATGCCGGCACAGCTGGTAACACACCCGTTGGTATGAGACCTACTCCCACAGAGACCAACGCAAACGCAATAATCAGCCAAACGACCATGAGACAAGGAGCATCCGGGAGAGCCTCCCAACTTACTCTAGCTGGGTGCTGGCTAGGCTCCCACAGGCCGCAGTGGTCCTTCTTCTCCTCAGCAGTAGGAACCAGATGCGAGGTGGGTAGGTTCGGGTTCGGGGTGGAGCTTCGGCTTTTGGGTCTCCACGCCTGGGGCCAGCGCTGACAGATGGCTTTGCCAGCAGTGTAGCTGAAGACTCCTCGAAACGTTAACATATGTGAAATCCTGTAGAGGCTGAACCCATGACTAACGACATGAGTTTTGAATGTCCTTTGAGGGCTTCTCACTGCTTGGCATCAGCCGCGTCCCGCGCGTGGTGGACGGATCCACGGAAGGATCCGTGGTGGACAGTTCCGTGGCCAGAGCTGCTGCTCCAGGAGCTACTGTGGTGGAAGGATCCGCCATGCACGGATCCATGGCCGGAACCGCTGCTCCACGAGCTGCTGCTGTGGATGGAGCCTCCGAAGGAGCCGCCGCTGAGGTCGCCGTCCGCGCCCATGTCATCGCTGAAGCCCGGCGGCAGCGAGGCATCGTCCCCGCCGACGAAGCCGGGTGGCAGTGAGGCGTCGTCACTGAGGTCCGTGCCATCCGGCAGCGCGGCGTCGTCCCCGCCGACGAAGTCTGGTGGCAGCGAGGCGTCGTCACCGCTGAGGTCCGTCCCATCCGGCAGCGTGGCATCATCGCCGTCAATGTCGGGCACGGCATCACCG